CCCTGCTCACATAATCTGCCTCTCCCGTTAACCCTTATTACATTGTAACAGCTAAGACGAAGCGCCCATCGACCTGAGTGACATTGAGTTGGCTACGCCCACATGGTCACATGACCACCGGGCCACACCTACCCAGCTGGTCATTAGGGCAGAGAACCGGTTGTTAAATTATTTGAATCCCACCGCTGCTTTTGATCTTAGCTTGTACATCAAATAAAGTAGCCATAAGCTGTACTATTTGAGAGCAAGGGCAATGATCTTTCCTGCATTGGTGCTTTATTACATCTTTATTTTTCAGTCATGCGATAGATGTATCCCCTCTGGAGGACAAATTGGCTGCTATTTGTTTGCCTTGAGGCGGCTTGCCAGCTTGAACAATCAACAATCAAGCTTGCCTTCAGAAATTGTGGAAGCCCATCACTGAAGGCTTTTAAGGAAAGACTGGATAACCACTTGTCAGAAATGGTAGCGTGTGAGCAGGAGGTTGGACTAGAAGATCTCCGAGGCCCCCTACAACTCTGTTATTCTGTTATTGGTGCTGTGCATTATGTGCAATCAACTGCCTAGGATTCTCACAATCTGCTTTTCTTACAACTATATTTCAATGATTACCAATTACTATCTTACCTTTGTGTAATGCTCAGGAAAGTTACTCTTTCCACCAAGTGTTAAATAAAAACTATTGTTTATTATGCAAACATTTCTTGTTATTTTGTAAAAAAAACAACCAACTATACCATATTTATTTTCATACTGTATCATGGACATTATTTTGTTTTCATGTTCGGGGAAGAAATAAAAAAACATCCTTACATGTTATTCTTTTAGCACTAAATAAATTGCCTAACTACTATCGCTAACTAGTTCCCAAGAGTCAGCAGAACAATCTTTGGGAGGTGATTGCTCCAGTGTAATAAATAAAGCATGTGGTAAGATTCCAAATGATTCATAGACTACAGTTATTTTTGTCAAGATGGCATTATTGCAACAAGTTTGGCAGTCAGAAATAAGAAACGTAGCACCATTTTCTCCCAAGTTGCACAGTCTGCAACTGTTTAGAGATGAGGCAGTCATTCTGGAAGTGGTGACACCCAGTGGGATGTATGCATGTGGTTAACATACTATGATTATTTTGGGCAATGCTTCTCCTAGTAAGGATAAGCGGACACAGCTATATAGACTATGAAAGTGGTTTGATATTCAATGGTTCCGTCACTGCTGTACGAAAGAGCTCTGACTTTCATCCGATAAGTCTCTGGCTCCCGCAGAGGCCTCGTGGTATACACCACGCCCTTCAAGTTCTCATCTCTGAGTGAAAAGGGGATGCTCATGTCCTCATTCACCATAAGGAAACTGGTCCTCGGGTGCATCACTCCGTCTTCAGTATAGGCAACTAATCGGATTAGATCCTGATTGGCAGCAATCCCAAATGGGAGGGATACAAATTTGTATTCCAAAGCATAAGGACTCAAGGCACATTCCAAGTCATTGGGGGGGCAGTTCTTGAGGCACGATCTGAAAAGAAAACAGTTGTGTACATTAGTCTAGAATTAATCAATTTCTACTATTCTTTACTTCGCTTCATCAAATCTTATCCACAGTTGTAAAATCCAGATCATCGCTGGATTCAGTGGTGGGATTCAGCCGGTTTGCACCTATTCGGGAGAACCAGTTGGTAACTTTCTAAGTAGTTCAGAGAACCGGTTGTTAAATTATTTGAATCCCACCACTGGCTGGATTGATTGGACCCATAATATAGTTAGGTGATTCTGTTGATTATTTATATAGAAATAAATCAACAAGAATGTTGGCAGGTAAGTATCAGCTTTAAATAGTTCTGCCTGTTTCAAAACATGGCTTAAATAAAAATGTATTCAAATATACATGTTGTCTCTAGCAAGTCCGATTTGTGATGAAATTGAAGTGAGAACATTTTGCAAGAAGCATTCTTATTTTGTATTTTTAATTACTGTACTTCAGTTTACTCTTTCTTATTCCCATTTTGTTTACCCAGCAATAGAACAATGTGATGATATAGGTAAATTAAAATAAATGTATATTTTAAGTCATCACACTCCGCTTACCCAAACTGAGAGACGTTTTAAGTAGATTGTTAAATTAACATGAAACAGCACTTAATATAGGCAACACTTCAAGATTACAAGTGTCCCTTGCTTAGCGACTACTTCTTTAACCAACCCTTCACACTAACAACAGTGATTTTTTTAAAAGTAACTTCTAAATCCTTGCATTTATGACCTTAGCAGGTCTGTAAAGCTGAAGTAAGAACATAAGCACTGTTGCAGTATCCGTTATTGATCACTTTGCTTAAAGATCGAGTTGTTGGTCCCCAATTGTGCATGTTAAATGAGGACAGTGTGTGTGTGTATCAGAAGTGGGTTCCTACCTGTTTGCACCAGTTCGGTAGAACTGGTTCGTCAAATCTACCGAACCGGTTAGAAGAGGTTCCACCAGAAAGCAGGCCACCCGTACAGAAGAGGTTCCAAATTTTCTTGAAACTCACCACTGACACACACAGACTCACACAGAGAGAGAAAGATAAAGGAAGGAAGAAAAAAATAAAGAAAAAAGTGAGAGAGAGATGAAAGAAAAAAAGGAAAAAGGGACAGAGAGACAAAAGGAAGGAGGGAGAGAGAGAGAGAGAGAGAGAGAGAAACAGAGAGAACACATGGCCGGCAAGCCACTCCCACAAAGGAGGCCACACCCACAAAGTAGGTTCAAATTTTTTTTGAAACCCACCACTGGTGTTTGTGTGTGTGTGTGTGTGTGTGTGTGTGTGATGCTCTACTAAATTACCAACTCATAAAGAACTCCTGGCAAAAATAGAGATGAAGATTAAGCATACCCAGAAAGTCGATCTTGTTGGTAGCTTGGAGGGCAAGTAGTTTCTATACACTGATAGCTTCCTTTCATGTTAAAACACATGCGGTTTGGCCCACAATAGATGTTCTGTTCAAGGCATTCATCTACGTCTGATATAATTCAAAAGGGAGGAAAATTTCAGATAGGCCATTCATTGATTTCATATATTTTTTTACTTTGCATCCCAGATAAACAACACCAACAGGGAATGACACAGAGCCATCATCGTCATGCGTACAAAGGAATGTTGTATAAAATATGCCCATAAATAAATAAAATAAATATCTTCTTTCCCCTGGAG